GTTGTCTCTCTAGGAGTCACCTATTAACATGTAGCTATCTCTCAAGAGAGCTAAAACTTTAATCCATTGTTGGTGGCGGTGTTTTAGGTCACTAGGTTTTATTCTGGAGTTGAGATTGGAGGGACAGATAGGAATTTCAGAAAGGTTAGGTTTTGGAAGTATGGCATTGTTGAGGCATATGAGACCACAGAGGAGCCTGGACTTGAAGCACTGAGGTCACCCATCACCTGGAAAGCAGCCAGAGATTGTGTATTTGGAAAGGGGGATGGTGAGTTGGATAGCAAAGAGGTAATGTCAGTAAAAAGGGAATAAGAGAAAATTCAAGAGGATGAAGAACTAAATAGAGGGAAAATCTTGAAAGTATTTTAGGTATGTATTAGGGTGACCATATAATGTATTATCTGAACTGGAACATACTGAGATAGAAGAGGAATGGCTGTTGGTAATTTCATTGTGAACCTATGTAAACTGGGATGATCAAAAGCAGATACAGACTGGATGAATGGTCACTCAAGTTGTAATGTGCCCATACATTACATACATATTACATATATACGTACTTATATAAATAATAGTGTAATAAAATGGTATCAGTTTTTAGCTACCATGTGCCAAGCATATAAACACTTTATACATGTTATTACATTCTTAACAATAATTCTCTGAGGTAAGTGGCATTGTCTTTGTTTATAGTTGATGAAACCAAATCTTAGGAAAGTAAAATTTCTTGCCAGCAGTTCTCCATGGCAGTCAGAATTGGAAATAATGAATTGGCTTAATATTGACCATAAACAAAATACAGTAAACTGTTAAGCACTACATTGTACTGCAGTTGCTGTGGGTGTGTATGTGTATTTTAAAATGTCCTCTGACTTGCTAAGAAAATTACCATCATAATGTTATATAATAAACCCTATTCCCCTTCTGATAGCCGTAATTCTGAAGGCTTACTTTGTGCCAGACCATGTTTCAAGCATTTTATATGTATTAACCTAATTTAAACCTCACAATTGCCTTATGAATTATTTGCATTTTACAGTTCAGGAAAGTGAGGCAGAGTGAATAACTTGCCAAAAGATGACACATCTGATTAATGGCAGTGCCAGAATTCAGACTCTGGCAGTGACTCTAGGGCCCGTTTTCTTAACTGCTGTCTTGTACTGCCTCGTCTAGCCTGCATTCTTTGTGTGGACATAGGTCTTCATTCCTCTTGGGAGTAGGTTTGGGTGCCGGCTAAGTGTATGTATACCTTTATAGGAATATTGCCACACTGTTTCCAAAGTGGTTGCACCATTTTGCATTCCCACTAGTAGTCCCTCTTTATTACCTCATCACTCCTTTTCTGTTTTTTATTAAAGCATATGTATCCTTTTCCACCAGATTCTGAAACTCCAGAAGTTAGAAATAAATTCTGTCCCCCTGTTTAAAAATTCACAGCTGTCCACATGTACACCCTCTCCTGTATCCATTTCTGTAACCCTACTACACCCTACACATTTAGGGTCCAGGAGTGTTAACAGCACCGGCAAAACAATAGCACGAGGCAGCGCAAAGTGTCTTGAGTCTTTAGCAGTGTCACCACTGACTGCGACATTAGTGTCCAGATAACTTTCCACATAACTAAGTGAATGGTTATACACATTTCTTTACAGTGTACTTATAGAGGAAATAAGTGATAGTGATTTAGTGCAGTGCTAATAGGCATTATACTGATCAGTTATGAGATTTGGGGCAAAGTTCGATACCTTTGTGAGGCTGTAAAATGAGGAAATTGGACTAGATTTCTTTCAGATCTTTATTTGTCCCTGCTAGATCTATATTCTTTGGGAAGAAAAAGGGATTTGCGTTTGACGTTAAATGAGCAAGGAAAATGGGACACATATTTAGCACATATTTTTCATTCAACATCAGAGTAATTTAATAGGGTCAAGGCGTAATATTGTAAGCCACTGTCCATTGGGGAAAAGTGGAAACTAAACAGAAATGTTGCTGTAAGACTTAGGACTTTAGTTGTTATAGTTTGATCAGCTTAAACTGAAGACTTTTGAATTACAGTGGATTGGGCATTAAAGAGTAGATTTTATTTGTAAATTCATAAGATGATCTGAGGATTGGAAAAAGTGATACAGTTAAACTAAAGTTCTGTGGGAACTTTTGATTCACTATCCTGATACCCCGACCGCTGAAGATCGGTATCCCAAGGCAGGACATTCCACCTTCAGGCAGCAATGACTCAGATGTTCTAATACATGGAACACACAGCCTCCGCTCAGTCACTCGAGTTCTGCCCTTCGGGATGATGCAGAACTAGTATTCTCTCTGACAGTCCTGAAAGTATTGAAAGGTAGTACTGTTAACTCGTTTCTTTAAAGATGCAGCCTTTTGTCGTAGCAGTACGATGGAACTGAGACTGGTTACCTTGGAAAATAGATGTCTCTGGGTGGAGATGGGAGTATGCTCTTATGATACTGTCTAAAATTTAATGGTTAGGTTCAGCTAAGAAAGTAATGCAGTTTGCTCTGTCTCTTCACTATAAATAACGAGCAGCTGGGGTTAGAGGTGGCATTTAATGTGGTAGAAAAAGCACCAAGCCATGCCAGCATTTAACAGTTACATTAAATCTGATTTCATGTCTTCTTCATTAATTCTGAGCAGAATCTGAAGTGCATTATAGCACCCAGATGGATGTCAATATGCCAGATGACATATTAAAATATCTTGTTGGTTGATAATGAAATGGCTCAATATTTTTTATCTAATTCCTTCCAAATGTGATGAAAGACTGACGTACTTTGTGGACTATAATTGAATGAATAGTGCTGAAATCCGCCACATTTCCTTTTTACTCATGCCAAGTTATACTAGGTTAGTAGAGTGATGGTTTTGGCACATGTTTTCTTTGTGATCAGTAATTATGTTTCTGATCACTACCATTGAGATATAATACTTCTGAAAGAATTAATTTGTGATGAGAAAGATTGTGGCCATGATTTTCAAACTTAATGCATTGAAGGGATTTTGCTTTTCATATTAATCAGCCTTGTACCAGTTATTAATATGCAATGAATTACTTTGTTTTAAACTTAAAATTAAAGGCACATATTAAGTTTACACACACACACACACACACACACACACGTGTGAAACTATCACCACACTCAACATAATGAAAATATTTTTCACCCCCAAAAGTTTCTTTTCAGCCATTTGAAGGTACTTCCTATTCTCTTGGCCACTCACCCCTGGCAATCAGATGAACTGCTTTCTATCTGTCTATCTAGAGATTCTAGAATTTTATATAAATGGATTCTACAATATGGACTCTTGATATGGCTTCTCAGCATTATTATTTTGAGATTCATCCATGTTGATGAGTATATAATAGTCATTTTTAAAAACTGCAAGTAGTGAAACATTAAATGGCTTTACAACATTTTGTGTATCCATTCTATTGTTGGTAGACAGTTGAGTTTGTTTCCAGTTTTCAGCCATTAAACGTAAAGCTGCTTTTGTGGGCATACACTTAGATTTCTCTTAGGCAAATAACCTAGGAATAGAATGGCTGGGTTGTATGATAAGTGAACAATTGTTCTATAGCAAAAGAATTGATTTTTGAGTATTGACTTCATATCCTGCAACCTTCCTAATAAGCTCATTAGTTAGTTCTGGTCATCTTTCTGTTTTCTTAATTTCATTTTCAGATTAAGCATAACATCCTAGTTCATTGTCAGTTTAGACTTGAAGAAATGTTTAAGCTTACAAAATGAAATGCCTTACTTTGATATGTGACATCCCCAATATTTTGTCTTCATCTTTTCATAAAATTGTAGTAGTCCTCATAAATGTGGGACCTTGAAATTTCAAGCTACCATTATTTAAATAGATGAATTCGGAGGTAATTTCAGAAAAGCAGTTGATTCTGAGGAATTGCTGGGGATTTTTTTAATGGTTTTTATGGGATTCTAAGGATCTGTTCAAATTACATACTCTAGAGAATCAACCACTTTGGTGGTGGTTTTGAGGGAATGAGGGAGAGTATATGATAAGGACTTTGAGGTTTGAGGCTTGAGCACAAACTACATGTATCATAGTGCAATTTACTGAGATGAGGACTGTGAGAAAGGAATGGATGTGGAATCATCAATTCAGCCTAGACATGTTAGATTTTAGGTCTGTTGTTTGTGCTTATATGTTTGTTTGGAGACTTGCAAATGAAGAAATATTTCTTAGGTTAAAAATAGGCTTGACGTCACACAGCTAGTTATTTGCAGAATTAGATTTCAAGCCTACGGCCCTCTGAGTCCAAAGTCAACGTGGTTACTGCTATGCTATGTTGTATCCACAAGGCAGAAAAACATGCTTGGCTTTGGCAGTAATAAACGTTCCCTATGAGCTATTATAAATATAAAGCAGAGTTTGCAAGCTCAGATGCCAACAGTTTCCAGACAGACAACCGTGAGCTGGGTTCTAATATAAGAGAGGGGTGACATCGGTGGAGAACTGCAAAGCCCATGTCTCATCTGAAGGATTAGCTGCTGATCAGCTCCAACAGAATGTTACCAGGTGGGAAAGTGGGCCCAGTATTGCCAGATCTTCTTCTTTTTTTTTTTTTTTTTAAGAGATGTCAGATATTTTCACTTTTAAGTTAAATCTTCTGATTAATAAATGTAGGCAGGTCTCCTTTAACACGCTGTGTAGGCCAGCCTTGTGTGCTTCCACCAAACGTAAGTGTGTTGCTTCCTACCTGTGGGTAAGAGTTGCACCTGGTATACTGTGGACACTACAATAAATTTACATGATGGGAAAAGGGTGGTAACTGTGTAATAAGCACATTAGAACCTTTGAAATTCAGGTTGCTTAGTTTGAACATGGTGCTTAGTGAATCTGGTGTTTAAGTTCAGTTTTCATACGTATCAGTTAATTACAGATTGCGAGGGAGGGAGGAATTGCTCCCTTCAGCTTTTTGCCTCCTAATTGCGTGCTTTTGTTTGCAGATAGGGCCAGTTGTGAGTGTGTGGATTTTTGAGTAAAACCTCGAAGCCAAATGAGAAGACAGCTTCAAGGAACAGCTTCTACTGACAGTGAGTCTGCAGCCATCTGTATGCATAATATGGAATGTGCTCAACCCAGAGATAGCTGAATGGGTGGCTTCTGTTGACAAGGAGTGGTGAGTCTGACTGTCCCCACTGGTAATTAACCTAAAGCCTTCCCATAAAAAGAGAACTCCTCCTCCTGCATGCTTAGCATTACCGACTGTTGAATAGTCAGTTAATTTTTGTGTTACAGAGGATGATAACAGCACAGTTCAAGAGAATTTTTTTATCCCTGAAGTGTGTTTAGTGTATGGTTACAGTTTGACTTTCTTCTTCAGTTGGACACATCCCTTGCTTTGTCTGTATATTTTTATCTTTTACTCTAGTCCAAATCATGCTATCCTCAAGGCCTGTCTCCCTTGATATATTCAGCCATCACTAAAGCGATGGTCATGATAGTTAACAGCATTCATTCTGATCTTGGTTACGGTGGGTCTCGTTGCCTTCGGAAGTGCCTGTGTTAGGAGTGGGCATGAATGCCAGTTCTGGCAGATGGGAAGTAAAGGGGACGTTTGCAGGGAAAGGTTTTCTCACTTTTGAGGAAGAAGAAAAGAGATGGTCCCTCCCATAGAGCTTGTCTTCTCTGGATGTGACATCTGGATCTGTTACAGCTGTCTTGCTACCAGCCTGAAGGTAACTCCCTTCCCTAAAGGAGGGCAGAGGCAAGAGAACTGCAGAGAAGTAGAACTGGAGCCCCACTCACCATGCCTAGAACCACCTTCACTGTGGATTCTCTGCTTTGTGACATAATGTATTTCCTTATCGTTTAAGCAGTTTTCCCTTCAGATTTTCCATTACTTGCTGTGGAAATCATCCCAATTCATTTGATTTCTCCCTTTTCTGATTACCCGCTGTCTTTTAGTGTCTTCTGCATTTCTACTTCATGTCCATAATGTTGGAGTATATTGCCTTTGTAGCACACTGTAAACTTCGTGAAGTCAAGGGCTATGCTTAAATCCCCGCTGCGCCTTTAACCACTGCTCTACTGCTGCTTCATTGTGCTTTTACAGCTTAAACTCATCTGTTTATTGCTAACATTAGGAAGATTATTGCTTTTTGTTAAATTTAATCAGCTAACTTAATGACATTCAGTTAGTGTTTCTAATAGTCTTATATTCAATTCACTTAGCTTTTCTGGGACTGCTGTCTTTATTTGTAAGTAAACATAATTTTGCTTTATCCTTTCCAGATTCATGTCTTAAGTTGGTTCACTTACTAACTGCATTGGCTAGAACTTGTAGAACATTGTGATTACAATGAGTATCTTGTCTTGTTTATTAATTTAAGGCATCTAATCTTTCATGAAATGCTTACATTAATTGGAATGTTTATAGTGTTTCACCTCTGAGCAGAAAGCCAATCTTTTGATATTCCGTATAAATAAAATGTAAAAGAGATCAACTTACTTCTGTTTTATTAAGAACTTTTTAAAATTCTATTTTAACCTCTGTGAAGGCCACATTTTAAAGCGTTGGCACTATGTCATAATTGCTCCAAACTAAAAATTGTTCACTTATTTTTATCTACTTAAATACTGTTCTTCAGTTTTAATCTCTGGTAGTTTAAACTTCCTATATCTTTGGTAAATTCACTATTATGCGTTTAAAAATATTTTGATATACTTTATAATTTGCTGATTTATATTTACTTTATTTTAAACATATTTTAAAATGTTTATTTATGTAGGCCCAGTCTACGTAAATAATAGGAGCTCGATAAATATATTGAGTAAGTTAATTTTTATAGTTATCTGATTAGTGAGACATCTTGATAGCGTATGTTTTGACTAGTAATAGGAAATATATCCGTTTTACAGAAGGAAGAAAAACTAGAAAATATATGTTTAGTATTAACAGTTGTTGTTTCTTGTTTTTTTGTTCATGTGGCTGATTTCTCATCCTACCGTTTTCATTCTGACTTGATAGCATCGTGCTGTAGGGTACCGATCTACTTGAAACTGCCAGGCGGTTTTAGATATTTGTCACACGTGCGCACGCACATACATGAAATTTAATTGATTCACCAGATGTGAGGGAACGAGGAAGTGTGTACATTACAGACAGTTATTAAAGTGTGGAGGCAGAGTGGGGTATTCATTTAAACATTGCCCCTAAATGGCTCTCAGTTTCTCCTATTCTAACATGTAAGTGTCGATGAGAAAAGAGCTTGGGTGACGTGGAGGGATTAGATTAATGCCATCAGCTCTTCAATTTTCACAGTAGGATCAAAAATATCTGTTTACCTCTAGAAAAGGTTTTTGAAAGTCTTACTGTAGTTTTATGGTTTAAGAGAATGGAAATTGATATTAAATCTCCAGTTTTTTGGTTAGTGGCCCAGGGTAGAAGTATCTGGAAATAATTGCCATCTGAGGGGCAGTGTTGTGCTTATGTAAATAGAATTGGTGGCCTTAATGTCGGGCCACTTAGCAGGTAGTAGTAGTGTAATAAGCCTTGCCACAGCAGCTAGGACTTATTGTAGCTGTTGCTCTATGTCCTTACTGTAAAGGCTGTGATTTCCATGAAGAAATCATAAAAGCAGCCCTTTTGTGGTTTTGATGAAGGAGTGTTTTGTGGCAGCATGAGAAAATGTACTTTGTTTTGTGCTTTATGGACAGACGACAGCCTTTTATAAAAGAAGCCATTTCCTCTATGAAAAGGAGTAGTCACATGCAAGACACCTGTTTTCATTTATTATGACCATCAAGTAGTATTTGTGAATGCCTTAAAAACATGTTCACTGAAAAATACAGAGAATATTAATTAAATGAAATGTATTGATCTTGAAGTGGATATAGAAAATTTCCATTCAAGACCATATTCTAATGGCTGTCTCCCTGTTTCTGTAATTCTCTTTAAAAATGGCTGACCTATAAAACTCACTAAAAAAGTTCAGTGCTATTTATATTGTCAGTGGGTTTTAATGCCAGATATTGAAGAGTAAATATTACTTCTTAAGTACCGACCAACGCTTTCATACCTAATTACATCATTAGACATTTTAAATTATGGTTACTTTCCTGAGTCCCTCAGATATTTCCAACAGTTAACAAGGCATATTTACCAATAGAACAAACAAATCTTCCTAAAACTTAAATCATGAAAGTTTAATAAACCTATACATTTAGCATATCAAATGTTCTTGTCTTTCAAATATCTTAATAGATTATGAAGTACCATAATAAGTTACTACAAATATGTTTAATAGCGCATAAGTATTAGTACTGTAAGTTTTGCTTCACTTCATCTTTTCCGTGTTGATCTCTGTACTTTTCAGAGTTAGAGATTTATCCACCCAAATGGAAACAATTGGCTTTCTTAGGCCAGTTGAGGTAATTTGGCTAAGGTAATTTGATTAAAAATCGTGACTGTGATGCTGATACAAGTAAAGCTATTTGGGTCAAAAACTATAAGAATGGATTTCTGGGCAAAGAAACTCGAGCCTGGTGGAGGCCCGGGACCACGATGTGCCTGCCAAGACTGAGCTGGCCTTTGATAGGATGAGTGCTTTTTTTCCGGCAACATTTCTACCTGTCACTTAACAGACCTTTGGAGCACATTTCTTTCAGCTGGTACTTTTTCAGACTTGTAGGTTTTAATTTTTTGCAATTCAGACTATTTACCTGAAATGTTTTGTTTTTTTTTTAATGCTCCACATTTTAAATGGAAAAAATTAGATTACCCAGTCAATTTTTGAAAAAAAAATTTTTTTTTAAAGAGCTAGTTCTCTCAGATATTAAAAATGCAAATCTAAAACTATTCTGGTGTATGAGCTATATCAGTGTTACAGAATAGAAATAGCCCCCAAATGATATTGAAATTTAGAATATAATAACAAGGTGCATTTCAGATCAGTGGAGAAAAGATTTTTAAAATTGCAGTATTATAGCTGGGTAGTCATCCAAAAAAAAAATATTCTGATTCTTGCCTTCATAGGAAGAAGGTAGATTTTTCCCTTTAAATTATTGCAGTTAGGAAGCCTTAAATAAAATATTTTTTGGAAGACTGGTAATACAGATACTTAATTGTTAGTGGGAGTATAGGTTGTTACATTCTCTTAGAAGGAGATTCAAAAAATATCTGTCAAATCTTAAAATGCCTACCCAAAATTAAAGTGTATAGACCCTTTATCCATCCATTTCACTTCTTGGAATTTATCCTATAGATAAATCCTATTTCATCACATTCCACATGTCTGAATTTACAAGATGATTCTTTACAGCATCTCTGTAGTAGTAAAAGATTAGAAGCAACCCAGCTTCCTGTCTATTGGAGGGAAGTTATACCCGAATGATAACATACAGCCTTTCACAATTGAGGGAGGCAGTTTTTTAAGTTACTGTTATTGTCTGATTTCCAAGATAAAGTGTTAAGTGAAAAAGCAAGCTGCCAAATGATGTATATGGTCACGTGAAAATGTTTTAAGAAGAAAAGAATTTATACTTCTGTTCTTGTATATTACTAGAATACCTGAGAGAGGCTATACAGGAAGCTAATATTGGTGTATCTTTTGAGATTTAGTGATTTACTACGAATCTGACCAAAAAACAAAAGCAAATTATTAAGTGGTACTTAGTTTGAAAAAAAAAAACCAAACAGATTCATCGTATTTTTCATCTTTATCAACTCATGGGAGAGACCTTAGAGGTTATGTTAAAAAATGTTTTTTATTGTAGTTAAAAACAGAACATAAAAATTTACCATCTTAGCCAGTTTTAAGCGTATAGTTCAGTAGTGTTAAGTATATTTACATTGTTTTGAAACAGATCTCCATAACTTTTTCATCTTGCAAAACCTAAGTTCTTTACTCATTAAACATCTCCCTTCTTCCGCCTTTGGCAGTCCCTGGTAACCACCATTCTACTTTGTTGTCTATAAATTCAACTACTTTAGATATGTCATTTAAGTGGAATCATATGGTATTTTTCTTTTTGTGACTGGTTTATTTTACCTAGCGTAACATCCTTAAGGTTCATCCACGTTGTCATATGTGACAGAATTTCCTTCCTTTTAAGACTCCACTGTTAGGTATATATCACACTAATACTCCGTTGTGTGTATGTGTCACATTTTGTTTA